AGAGGACTTTGTAACCAGTAGAATTATAATCTGGGTTAATTTTAGTGTATTTTATTACTGGGATTCAGTTCAGTACTAGAGTTTCCTATCTTGCCTGTCATTTACACGAATAAAGAAGTAGGAAATGGAACAACTCCAGCTTGTAATTATTATTAGCTGTACATTAACCTAATACTTCGGACTGCTGAGCAATTGGGGTCATATAGCAGCAGTCAGTTAATGATTAATCAATTTTTTTGCTGGTGTAGCTGTGCTGATGAGTGCAGGCAGGAATTTATTGTGAGAAGTAAGTCTGCTCAATTACCGGTACATACAAATGAGCTCACACAAACAGAAAATAACCAGGAAGTTGGAACTCGTATTATCTAAATTAATTTTTTTTGGTCATTTATTCACCTACTAATGACGAATACTAGATTTTTTAGTGATGCTAAGAAAAATAATTTTACGAAGACTTAGCCTGTCTAAGGACCAGTTTATGATCTTATACTGACTACAAGTAAATGTGGGCCCCACACATGTAACAGCAGGATGTCCATTCATTAACGACCTAATTAATTTTATGTGTTTTTGACTCCCATGTGCAAAGCACAAAATGGGAGTCTTTGCAGTTAGTGTGTCTGTGTGTGTGTATGTGTGTATGTGTGTATGTGTGTCCGACTGTTCCACTGCTATCTCAAGAACCATACATCGGTTTTTGATGAAACTTGGTGCATAGATGCTCTGGGCCAATGCGCAGATTTGATTAGGTTTTGGTAAAAATCCATGCTCGTTGAATACTAATTTGCATGATAATTAGCTAATTTTTAGCTGTTCTATGACTGTTCCACTGATATCTAAAGAACCACTCATTGGATTTTGATGAAACTTGGTACATAGATGCTCTGAACATGTGCGCAGATTTGATTAGTTTTTGGTAAAAATCCGTGCATATTAATTACCTAATTTGCATGATAATTAGCTGATTTTTGCTGTTCCATGATTGTTCCACTGATATCTAAACAACCACTCATTGGATTTTGATGAAACTTTGTACATACATGCTCTGAACTAATGCTAGGTTTTGATTAGTTTTTGGTAATAATCCGTGGATACTAATTACCTAATTTGCATAATGATTAGTCAATTTTTGGTTTTTCCACTGATATCTCAAGTA